ACCCTTGACTTGGTGTTGTCAGCACCACACTCTCCCAAGTGAGCCATGGGCCAGCCCTATAGTGTAACCAAATTTTAAAAAGACAGTTTTTTTTTCTTGGTATGCATTTTTCTGAGTTCTCTTTTTACCCATGGTTATTTGATATTTTGGATCTTGGTTATGGAGCAAGATGACATTATTTACATGAATGTAAAGTTGTTTTCCAGCCAGCCTGAAGCTGCAGACTTGCACATACTACCCAGAACCTGAGATAACAGCAAAGATGGTAACAGAAACCAGATGGAGTTTTGGCGACACTTTGCACCTGATACTTTGCATGAAGCCCTCACTGCTCACATGCCCCTCCCTCCTGCTCTTCATTTTCCCACATTCCATTCCCTCATCTCCCTCTTTAAAAACCCCTTTGAGATGGTTTTAGCCTAGCCGTTCTTCTTCAGGTTTACTGGAGAGATGGGTTAGCCCGACATCTCTCCTCAAGTCACTGGTATCCCCGAATAAAAGCTGGCTTCCATTTTGTAGGGAAAGTGAAGGAAAATGGTCAAGGCCCCTCAGATGTTCAGAATCTTCCCGAGCATTTGATGTAAATATGCATGTGCACCCAGATGTTCCTTGGTTATTGTCTAACGTAATTGTGCATGTGTGCCCAGGTGTCCCGGGTTATGGACTTAAATATAAAGGACGAGCAGCTCTGATCAATGGTGCTCCTGCCCCCAGGGAGGCCATGGGGAGGCCACTACTGCTGCTGGAGGCTGTTGCTGGAGGTTGTTGCCACCAGTACCCCCTGGGATGCCCCGAGAGGCCAACACCGCTGCTGCTACTGCAGAGGACTGAGCTTGTGTCATCTGCCAATGGCTCCCGGGATCTTTCTCAGTTACCTAGAGCATGGACTTGTGTGTGAGGGGTTTGGTGACCCAGCCTGGCATGTGAGGGGTCTGTGATCCAGTCTGTACCACGGGTTTGAAGGGTCTGTGGGCCCTAACCCCTAGCCCTGCAATACAAATGGAAAACTTAGTATAACTAAAATAATGAAACATTTTGGCTTTAGTTACGAATTGCCTAGCTATACAATTGGTGTAGTCACTTAGCCTGACACATTTTCACCAACATTTGTCTATTGTTTGTTTTTTGTCTGGGGGCAGGCAGCTGGAACTGTGAGTTTGATAACAATTTTGGGGAGCCTCAGCCAGGAGCTGAGTGTGCCCTATAACACCATCTTTTTCCTATTTCAGAAAATTGCACCCCTAGCCATCCAGTTGCTTAAGCCAGAAACTGAAGAATCATCCTTGCCTCTACCTCATTGTTCTTTTCACTTCCCACATCTAATTATCATGAGGTCATATTGATTGTATGCCTCTGAACTCTCTCTCAAATAAGTCTTTTCTCTCAATTTCTACCACTTTAGTCTAAGCCACCATTCTTTCTTAACTGACTACTCCAATAACCCTTTTTGGTCTGTCAGGCTGTTTTCACTCTGGTCCTCTTCAAATCCCTCCTCTATCATGTATACAGAGGATTCTAGAAAAGAGAAATTTGATCCTGTCATCCCCCTGCTATTTAAATTTAAAAAAAATAAATGTACATTATATATATATATATATATATATATATATTTATATACACACACACACACACACAAATTTAAATGTATATTATATATATACTTTTTTTCAAAGTCCACCAGATAAAATATCCTTGGCAATCCTGAAAGACCCTCATCCTTTACCTACT